TGATGCTCTTTCTCCTTCATTGATTGTCTTCTAGGCCTAGCCTCCATTTTATTTATTTGTTCTGCAAATTCGAGGCGTCTACCTTCAAATAAAGCTAAAGAATAAAAATGTACATGTATAACCAAGAAAACACAGTCACAATTTTGCACCAGGTCACAAGTTGTCACTAGCTTCATGTAAATGTCTTTGTAAAAAGATGACAAAACACTGATTGTAATAAGGGCAAACTGATACAAGATAACCACTAGAAACATCTGTACTAAAGAAATTAATAAAAACTGAACCACTTCTAATTATTTAAAAAAAGGAAATCAACCTTTTGTTATCTTTATGCTAGAAGAAAATTAACAAACCTTCATAAAAACCCAGAAATTGGCTTTTACTATCATGTACCAATTTTCTAATTCCAAGGAGTGGGGAAAAATCACCTTAGTAGTGTTTAACCCTCTGTGGGGCACCCTCCATGTAAGCATACAAATGGCATCTTTGTGTAACTAGAATTTTCATGTGGTTACTAGCAAGCATAAAGAAAACTTATACAAATGCAAATACATGTTTATAGGTGTTTCATGTTACTCATAAAGAAATGCAATTGGGCCTAGGAGATAGCTCAGTAGAATAACTGCTTGCTTGGCAAGCACAAGACCCTGAGTTCAATCCCCAGTACCACAAAAAAAAATAGAAGAAATGCAATGAACTTCTTTACTTACCATTCATTTTTCTCTGTGACTCTTCTATTAGTTTTTGGGTAGCTGGACACATTCTTCCAGGAATATAGAACAAATGGGGCTTGGTCTTAGTTCTTATATATTTAATGATCTTGGCATTATGCTCATTCCACTCTTCTTGCTAAAGAAAAAGCATAAGATCAGTGTCTTTGTGAACACAAAGGTTTACCAATCTTGAAAGTTCAAAATCCTACTTACCAGTTGTGCAAGCTCAACCTTCTGCTCCAAGAGCCGCAGCTCTGTCTGTTTGGCACGCCTCTCTTCAAATAGCTCTCTCCTTTCATTTTCAACCTGTTTTCTCTCTTCTTCTGCCTGAACTTCAAGTTTTTGTTCAATTTCTTGGCGCCTCTTTTGCTAAAAATAAGTAAGCTAGTTTAATGCCTATGTATTATAATAGGTAAGAGGTTTTAGTTGGTATTAATTCAATTATAGTAAAAGCTTATCAGACAACCTGATTATGTGAAACATTATAATTTTACTATGGAAAATTATCTGCAAATATGCTCCATTTAGGATACCTATTCAATTTAGCACTTGAAATTTGGGACTGATCACAATCTTTCAGAAATAGGGACTGAGAGTAAAAAAAAAAAAAAAAAAAAATTGATCAAAGGTAGTGAAAAGGCCATGCAGAGCAAGGTGGGGCCAAGTAGAAACAGAAAAAGCATACCCTACACAGCATGACAGTGGACATCATGCAAAATGAAAGTGGCAGGACCTTGTTTTTTTCACGTAACTATGTAAATGTCGAGGCTATTATTCACAAAATAACCACCCCATCATTAAATAAGTTTTCACAAAATACAACCTAAAAAAGGGTGCTGTCTTAGGTTATTTTCAGTTACTCTAAATCAAAAGGCATAACTATTAGCCACACCTTATTTTAAAAAACCTATCTAATTCTTCCTACATTAACATACTTTTATTGTTAACATACAAGTACTGAAACATTTAATCAGTCTCTCATAATCCAGATATAATTTTGTTTCATCAAGAGAACTACTAGACAGAGGACAGTTAAAACTGTGAAGGTCAGGGAATAGCTATACTTTTACTTCCAGAGTGCTAAGTACTGCCTTAGCATGTGTATAGTAGTATAAAAAACTATAGAGTCATTAAACTAATTCCAAGATCAAGCCTGTTTAAAAGAAACTCAAACTCGTCTAAGCTTACACAGCAATGTGGTTAAAGAGCTTGGAGCAAAAATTAGCAAAAATTTCAAGGTGTACAAACTGGTGCTCTTTGTGTCACATACAATTCACTCAATACACAATGTAAAAAAGTTGAGAAAATAACAGTCTCAAAGTTTTTATGTAAAATTTTACCTGGTTTTATTTTAGCTTTGCAATTAAGTCTTAGAAGAGCTTTTGAAATCTTTTAAACTGGAGCTGGCAACATAACTCAGTGATAAGGGTGCTTTCAGAGCATGACAGAGGCCCTGGGTTCTACTGCCAGTACCACAAATTAACAGATGCATATGTACCCTTAAATAAAATTCATAAATACCCTTTCAGTAGCAACAGTAGATTCTTGTTTAAATTTTTGAAGAGTACCCATCAACAAGCCAAATATTCGCCGGTTCCTAAAAGAAAAGAATAAAGTACTTCAATGAAATGTATTTCATTATATCTGCCGCTTTAAAAAAAGAGTGAAGGCGGGCCAGGGAGATGGCCGAGTGGAATAAGCGCTTCCCTGGCAAGCACAAGGGCCTAAGTTCAATCCCTGGTTCCACCAAAAATTAAAACATAAAAAATAATGGTGTACAAAAATACTGTAAAACTTCTCTTATTTGACAGACTTTTCCATGGGGGAGTGTCCACAAATACCTTTGCTTTCCTTTTTCATCCATATTTTGATCCTGGATAAGGTCTCTACGTGTACGCTCTTTGGAGGTAGCTACAACTGAAGACTGCAGTGCTGGCTACAAAAGAAAATTTCAATAATTTAACTAGTACATAGGTAGCAGGTTTTTACATGTAATAAAGGAAAAATAACAAAGTTTGTACGCCTATTATTATTTTTTTCTCTTTTTGATAAGAGTTTCGCTATGCAGTTCAGGCTAGCCTTGAGCTCACTTTGTGGCCAAGGCTGGCTTCAAACTCAAGGGTTCCACCTGCCTCAGTCTCCCAAATGCTGGGATTAGGTGGTGGCACACCCCACTTCTAATAAATTCTTTTAATCTTCATACCTTTTTCACATCATCATCCTCTGGGTCGCTTTCTTGGCGTGATTCTCTTCTTGTCCGACATTCTCCACCCAGCCTGTCACAGGAAAAAAAAACTTTAAATAACTGCTGCAGAAATTGTGGTTAAGTTCACACCAAAGGCAAATCCTTTTTCTAAGACATCTTCCAAAAACTCAATCTTTTATTGTTTTCTGTTGGTTTTTTGTGACAGGGTCTTGCCATGTAGTTCAGATTGACCTTAAACTCAGCACACGGCCCATGCTGGCCTCAAACTTGGGCAATCCTCCTGCCTCAGCTGCCCAAGTGTTGGGATTTACAGGTATATGTCACTGAGCTCAAGGACATCCTTGAACTCACTTTGTAGGCTGGTGTGGAACTTGCAACAATCCTCCTGCCTCAGCCTCCCATAGTGCTGGAATTATAGGCAAATGCCACTGTGCCCTGATGGTTAAATTTTCTAAGTAGTACAAAATAGATAAAGTGGTTCAAATTGACATTTTTTTTTCCAGTGGCCCTTATATTGATAAAAATTTGTTCATGAAAATAACAGAGTTTAGGGGAAGGGTGTCTCAGTTCAGTCAAATATCAAGGAGACTCCCCCCCCACCCCAGAGAAAAGCATACTATACTAATTCTAACATAACCTGGCGGATATAGAATCACATACCTGCACACTTGTAATTCCAGCACTCAGGAGGCTGAGGCAGGATTACTACAGGTTCAAGGCCAGCCTTAGCTACACAGTGAGTGCAAGACAAGTTGAACAGCAGAGAGACCCCATCTCAAAAAGAAAACAAAAACAAAAATGCTCAACCCACCCAGATGTGCAAAATATTTGTATTTGTATACTACCCCAGATAATTTAAAGATGGCTTTAGGAATCTTCTCCTGCAAAGCATACCTATTGACTGCCCCTTCAAGGTCTCTCTGTTTGGCTGGGGGTCCTCCTCCACTATCTGAGAATCCACGCCTGCAATTAAAAATGTTCATCAGAAAGCACTTGAAGTATGTCCACTTTGCAAAAGAACTTAGTTGACTTTAACTTCAAGTAGATATTCACTTTAAAAAGGCTTGTTCCATTTTATCTTGGGGGCACCAGGAACAGAACGCACCACCTAGTATGTAAGAGGCCCTCTTATCACCAAGCTTCATCTCTATACATCAAAAAATAAACTTTTTACGGTATTTTTAAAAACACAACTAAACTGACCCCCAAAAAAGTTAATATGGTCTTCTTAAGGCTGGGATATAGCTCCGTGGTGCAGCGAGCCAGACTCCCAAGGTTTGATCTTGGTACCCAAGAAGACAAAAAGCTGCAGGACAACTGCACTTATATTAATAACCTGCAGATAAGTGACAACATGAAACAATTAATACACACCTTTGATTTTCTAACTTTAGCTTTATCACGGTTTCTTAAAACCAAGAGATTTTTTTTAAACCATCACGTTAACGTAAATCGCAACAGCAGTTTTATTAGGAGTGAAGACTCAGAGAAATCTTACCTCAGCAATAAACTACCACGTCCTCTACCTCCACCAGGACCAGAAAGGGCCAGCAATCTGGCTTGGATGGGCCTAGGAAAAAGATACCCCAATCAATACAGACGCACGAATGTGAAGTCATCCAGAATTCTTAGACACCGCGACTGAGGGTCCCAAATCCTTCCCCAGCCGCGGTTCATCAAAGGAGAGGAGAACCGCAGTTCCCCAGAGACGGTTCCTTACGCACGTGCTGGGGACCCAACAGGGCTGCGATTTCTCGTTCCTGTTTCTCGGGAGCCCGTTACCACAGAAATCGTGCCGACCTTGGCGCCGGTACAGGCGCCTAGAGTCGGCCGTCCCGCCCGCGACCGCGGAGCCAGTACCCGGGAGCGGCGGGCGGCGCGAAGGGCTTTGTGCTGCAGTTCCGGCCCGCAGCGCCGAGGGCGGGAAGCGACAGTGTCGGCCTCCTCAGAAGCGCGGTCAGACCTCTGCCCCTTCTCCCGGCGCACAGCGCCCGGCTACCGCGGCCTCCCCGTCTCGCCAGCCCGCGTTTTCACTGCTGCCGGACGACAGGCCTTGAGGCTCCAACCTTCTCTAGCGGGCCGGCCTGCCGACCGGCCGCCTTCAGCGTCCCCAGCCATCCCGGCTTGAGGGCTGCCTCTCCCGACCGAGTTCGTGGTTCCGGGCCGGTTCTTACCTCACGTCATTGGGATCTCGCCCAGTGAGCTTGCGAATATTCTCGTCCACATTTTTTAGGCTCTCTTTGGCCTTCTCTAGCTGCTCCTGCAAAGTTCTCACAGCGACCGCCATCTTCCCCCTGCAGCGGGTTTCCAGACGGCTCTACAGGCCGCGCCGCGCCGAGCCGAGCCGCGCCGCGCCGCGCCGCGCTGCGCTACCCCAGAAGACTGACAACCCGGCTCAGCCAATCACGGTAGACGTTCTTTTCCGGCCTCAACCATTCGGCGACCGGAAGAGGGGAGGAAAAGCGAAGTCATGTGACTGTGGGCCAATGAAAAGTTGGCCAGGTGGCCACCGCCCTCCCCAACAAGCTGCGGGTGGCTGGGTCCGGCTTCTGGCGCAGAAACGGGGTGGGCTTGAAGAATCGCTCTTCCCGGAGCTTTGAGCTGCGCAGGCTTGTAGTTCTCTAAAGGAGAACGCAGAGCTTTCCGGCTTTTATATCCAAACTGTAGCTGGGCGTGGTGGTACGGGCCTGTAATCCCAGCGCTAGGGCGGCTGAGGCAGGAGGACGGCTGTGGGGTGGAGGCCAGCCTGGACTGCATAGTGAGACCCTGCCTCAGAAACCAAATCAAGACAAACACACAAAACTGTGATGTGACCCGCCTTAGACTGTTTTCACCACAGAATCGCACCACCTCTCCGCCTTTCCCTCAGCGATTTCCTCAGAAAGGGGCGCGGCCATTATGTTGGCGCGCATGCTCAGAAGGGCGGGCCTGCCGCCGGGCGGATTAGATTGGGCAGAGGGAAGCGAAGACCAATAGGAAAATTCTACCGTAACGGCCGACCATTGCGACGCGCTAGGATTTCGTGGGTACTCCGTGGAACGCTTTGCACAGCTTATTCTGCAGACTGAAGGGCTGCATAAAATGCTTGCGATTGCCGCAGCAGAAAACAGACTGGGCGTAATGTACCTGCCCCTGGGCCATGCAGGTAGAATTCCTGTCAACCCCTGTGCCCGGCTATACTAGCAGAAAAAACACGTGCAGCAGTGCATGCTTTTCCCTTCTTCATTTGCGTAGTTTGTTGGTTTGACGGGAAATGTGAAACAGCAGCCTTATATGTGTCCTTCAGCTTTTATCATTTTTTTTATATTGGAGATCTTTTTCCACTGTTATTTTTTTCCATAATTTCATTGAGAAATAGCAATGAGACAGTTTCAAACCAAATTGGTAGGACAGTTTCAATAATCAACACATTGCATACATTCTTCCTAATGGTTAATTGCTATACAAAATGCGGACATGATTTCCACTGAGTTATAACCCAAACCTTTAATTTTTTTTTAAATTTACTTTTTAAATTTAAAAAAAAAAAATCTTTTTTGGAAACAGGGCCTTATTGTGCATCCCAGGCTGGCCTTGAACTCACTATGTAACCCACCTGGCCTCAAACTCTGAGTGATCCTCCGACGTCAGCTTCCCCAGTTGCTGGGGTTACACCTGGCTATTTCCAATTTACAGACAGTGATCCCCTAAGTGGTTAAATTGCCCAGTTTGGGTTTAAATTTGATTCTCCTACTGCAATCTCTTGAGGTGCTAGGATTGAGGCGGGAGATTAGGACATGGCAAAATTGGCTGAGGTCGTGGACATGACCTGTGTTATGGTCTGTGTCTCGTCACCCTGAGGCCTCGTGAGCTGTTAGATGGGGCTTTTTCAAAGGCCGTTGTATCTAGAGTTTGTGAAGAATACGCAGTCTACTGCTGACATTAAGAGCGTGCTACACTCACTCTAGGGTGGGGATCCTGCAAACCAAATAAGGGACAGTAAAAGTTTTCTCTCTCCCTGGTTGGTTTTGCTTTTTTTTTTTTTTTTGCCAAGCAAAGAACTGTTGCACCTCTGCCATGTGCCACCCTGCCTTGAAGCCAGCTGAAACTACTAAACCTTTCTTTCCTTAACTTACGGATATTGCATATTCTGTCTGAGCAATGAAAAGAAGAAAGGGGGGGGAGGGGGAAAGAGGAGAGGGAAAGGAGACAATCAGCCAATTACAACACCTCTTAAAGCCCTACACGTGGACCGCATCAGAGACTGCCATCTTCAGTTGCTCTAGTGGGCGCTCAGCGGGTTTGGGTAGGACAGCTTCAAGCTGACATCGGGAGTGGGAGGTACAAAAAGTTGCCAAGGACCTTTGGGCTACTGTTTTGTCTCTCACAGCACAGTGTTCCCCTCTCACAATGTAGAATATACTTCTTTTTTCCTACTTTTAGTTGGACCAAACTCACTGCAGAACCTGTTTCTTTTCCTACTTTCAATAAATGTAAAACCTTGTTATTTTTTGTGATTGTTTCATCCAATTTTTGTTCAAGACAAGAAGAACCTGTCTGGGTGTGGTAGCACACACCTGTAATCCCAGCACTCAAGAGGCTGAGGCAGGAGAATTACTGTGGATTCAAGGCCAACCTGGGATGCACAGTGAATTCAAGGCCAGCCTGAACTGCATAGTGAAACTATCGCAAAAAAAAGCCCTATCCCCCCCCCCAAAAAAAAAGCGCTGTGAATATGAATGTGTCACAGCTAAAAGCCCTCAATTCAATCTTTTTTTTTTTATGAGCAGAGTATATTTATTGAGAGAAAGAAAGCTCCTGTCCAAGAGAGGGACAGGAGGGGGGCCCGAGCGGGTAGTTCCCCCCCAATTCAATCTTCATTAACAAATAATTTCGTATTTAGCTGGATGTGGGGTCATGGTGCACACCTATAATCCCCACACAGGAGATTTAGGCAGGAGAACTGTGCTCTTGAGGAGGGCCTAGGCTGTACTATATATGGAAGTCCAGCCTGGACTGCACATAGCTGGACCACTAGGCAAGATCATATTGGGCTCACGACATAGCTCAGTGGTCTAAAGCACCTGCTTAGGCAAGTATGCAGAGCCTGCATGATCCCTGGTACCACATGCTGCACCAGCCCTGCCCCAGAGTGGGCTGAGCCTGCATACACACACACACACACACACACACACACACCCTATCACACACAGATACAAAAAGAACGTAGGTGTTATTTTTACTCTTGACTTATGTGATTAACGGTTAAACTGACACAAACATTAGATGGGACATGTTAAAAGAAATTTATAATTACAATTATAGGACAGCATCTTAAATCCCTGTCACAGAATGTGAAAAGGTGGGGGTTATTGTTAACAAATTGTGCACAGCCTAGTATGTTAATTTGTGGGAAGCAATGAATACTTGGAATAAAAATCTGTTTTAAAAATTACCAAGAAAAGTAATCACAGGTTAAACAACATGTTTAAGGTAGAATATGACAGGCTGGCGAGATAGCTCAGTGGACTAAGCGTCTGCTTTGGCAAGTTTAGGGACCAGGGTTTGATCCTGGGTCCCACATGCCTGGCTGGCCCCGCCCCCCAGGGTGGACTGAGGTGAACAAGGCGTAGTACATGCCTTAATCTAAGCACTGGAGAGGCTGAAAACAGGAGTCCGAGCTGTGTGGTGAGACCTGTAGCAAATACATAAAATAAAATTTAAAAAATAGAATATGCCAAATTTAAAATGTAATGCTGGAAGTAGGAGTGTAGGTTAGCAGTAGAGTGCTTGCTTGGATGTGTTCAAGCCCAACATTCCCCCAGAAGGAAAAGAAATATGATATAATGTGTACGAGGGGTAAGTAAAATATATGGTGTTTCAATAAAAAATGTATTTAGTAAAAGGCACATTGCCATAATTCCCCTTTAAATATTCCTTTTGGGGACCGGGGAGATGGCTCAGTGGAATAAGCGCTTGCCTGGCCAGCACAAGGGCCTGAGTTCAATCCCCGGTTCCACCAAAAAAAAAAAAAAAAAAAAAGATTTTGGGCTGGTGAGATGGATCAGTGGTCTAAAGCACCCACTTAGAACAAGCTAAGCTTAGCAAAGCACAGGGACCACGGTTCAATCCCCCAGCACCACATGCCAGCCAGCCCCGCCCCCTGGTGGGCTGAGCTGGCCACACACACACACAAAATAAATAAATATTCCTTTTACTTCAAACACACCCCATTATTCTTGGTAGTTTTTGAAGTTCTGAAGGTAACATTTCATAAGTCCCTATTTTTTAATTTTAGTACACGTTTGTAGTACATAATTATAACATCCATCATGGGGGATGAATGCCTGTTAGGTGTGGTAGTTAAATATCCCCTTCAAAGCCTTCTGCAGTCATAGGTGGGACTTTTCATTGGTGGCTGGATCTACAGTGTGTGATGCTCATTTTAAGTGTCATGCTGGGATTAAGGGTGTGTGATTACTATGTTAGTGCACTGATTGGTGTGGCACAGTTCTGGATAGGATCAAGGGTGCCCAACCCTGGGCACCCTAGGGGCAGGTAGTCTGGATAGATGTAAGGTACAGAAAGTTATTGCTTGTTCCAGGCTGCTTTGCTGCCTTCTGCCTGCCAAGAACAGTCTGTCTGTGATGCCTCTCTGCCTCCCCATCCTTAAAGTCACCAAACTTACAAACTTGGGCTAATGTGTCTTTTTTTTTTGGTGGAACTGGGGATTGAACTCAGGCTCTTGCACTTGCCAGGGAAGTGCTTATTCCACTGAGCCATCTTCCTGGCACCCCTGCAATGTCTTTTATTGTAGTAATTATGTATTTGTTATATAGTTCAGGCTGGCCTTAAACTCACTTTGTAGCCCAGGCTGGTCCTGAACTCACAATGATCCTCCTGCCTCAGCTTCCCCAAGTGCTGAGATTACAGGCATGCACTGCAATAATTTTTTTTTGTAGTAAACTTAAAAAAAAAATAACATTCACCATATTTTTTGATGATGTATTATATCTGCCCTTCTGTAAGGCTTAATTCCCATACCTATCATAAATTCTTAGAAATTTTCAGAGGGCTAGGCATGGTGCATACCTATAATCACAGCATTTGGGATTATAATCCCAGTAAAGTCAAAAAACACAAAACATACAGGGCCAGTGAGATAGTTCAGTAGTCTAAAGTGCCTGCTTAGGCAAGTTTAGGCAACCGCAGGGACCAAGGTTCCATCCCTGGCACCATAAAGGGTGTCAGTCACCAGCTACAGAAAACTTAAAAAGAGGCGGGGAGATGGCTCAGTAGAATAAGCACTTGCCTGGCAAGCACAAGGGCCTGTTCCACCAAAACAAACAAACAAACTACCAAAACATACAGTATGTAAACCAGAAAACATACTGGGTTAAGTAAATTGAAAAAATGCTAAAGAATTTAGAAAAGTGTAACTTTGACCTGGTGGGGCTGAGGCAGGACTACAAATTCAAACCCAACTTGGGCAAGATCCTGTCTCTAAACAAAACTCAAAAGTGTCAATCATGGTATGAACAACCGCCCCCCCTCCCAGGCTTTTTGGGACAGGATCTCGATATACAGTTCAGACTGGCTTTAAACTCACTAGCCCACGCTGGGCTCCAACTCACAGCAACTCTCCTGCCTCAGTCTCCCACAGTGCTGGGATGCCAGCGGCACCACTATGCCCTGCTTCTTTGTAACATGACCAACTAAAGAACACAAGGCAGAAAATGGTAGATTTTATGGTCGGTAAACAGTATTTTCATTAGAGAATATTTATGAGTTTCTGAAATCAAACCCATATAGATAAGATCTTACATATTTAATACAGAACATTACCCCTTTACAAATGAAAATAAATTCAAGTTTAACGTTTCTAGACCAATGTGGCTGTTAATGTCTGTACAAGGCCAGCAGAACAAGGTCTTTTGTTGTCCCGAAGCTGCCAGCACCTTTTTGTTTTAAACAGTATTTAATTAAACTTTAAGCAACAATCAGCTTTCACGATACAGCTGTTTAGACAAGTTTAAGCAACCTCAGGACCAAGGTTCCATTTTACACCTCAATACTTGGTATTAATAAGAGTGGAGATAGTCAATATAATTATGGCGGAAATTGTTAAAAACATAAATAAATGCTAGCGTTAGTATGTTTATATATACAGTTCAGTTCAGTTTTGGTGTGAAGTCTTGTGTTCAAGAAAAAACATCCGGTTTACTTCAGTAATAGGAATATCCCTTAGCGCTGGGATGGACTCTTCTTGGTATTCCCTCTGCTGCTGGTTTTTGGCGTAGCTATCCGTGATCGTCTGAGTGGAGCTGAGCGGCGCGGTGCTCATCATGTTAACTGCAAACAGGACCACGTAAACCACGAGCACGGTGATGAGCAGGTAGACAGGCAGCGCAACAGCCCAGTATTTTTGAGGCCAGTAAGTTAAGCCAAAGGAGTGAAGCCAAGATTCAGGAATGAAAGCCCACACGAGATAAAGTATGAATCCAAACTGAGAACTCAGGAAAAGCACAAAGCCATAAATCGCTCTCTCCGGCAACGGCGACGGGGACTTCTCCACCATCTTCCCTGTGTCTTTGAAGTCTCTCGGGTCGGCGGTCCACGGAGCGCGACAAGGATCCCGGCCAGGCACCGGCGCCCCGCGACCCTCGCGGGGAAGTGGGGAGCCTCCTGGGCTTGGACTGGCTGACAAGCTCGGCAGGCGGCCGCGGGGCCGGGAGAAATTCTCGTCAAATTCTCCTAAGTTTCACAGCCAGTCAATCAATAGAAGACGCCTCGCGGACACCTGCGCCTTGTACGGAAGCGGTCTGCGCTGTTGCCAGGCAGCCGCGGCTGCGGGTCTGCGAGCGGAAGCCCGTGACCATAGAGCTGGCGGAATGCCGGCCTAGAGCGGACCGGAAGTGGTCCCCCGCCCAGGGCGGTGCGGGGCTCAACTGTCTGCGGCTACTTCGGGCCGCTGGCTGTCAGACCCTTCCTGTGGGCCCTAGGCCTTGAGTGCCCCAGGGTGGCCTTCCCCCCAGGTACCGGCTGACTCGGTCGCGGCCTTCGGGAGACCCAGTGCAACCTTCAGTCTCTTAGCCAGGGGGACAGAGCCGCCGAGTGGGGAAGTGCGGCGCCCGCCTAGTCGCTGCGGCGCTGGCCGGAACCACCCGGCGGCCCGAACGACAGCTGACACCCGGACCGGGAAGAAGAGCGGAAATGGCGGACGAGGCGTTGTTTTTGCTTCTCCACAACGAGATGGTGTCGGGAGTGTACAAATCCGCGGAGCAGGGGGAGGTGGTGAGTGCTGCCCCCGCCGCGAGGTTCTTTTGCGGTGACACCTCTGGTCTCCCCTCAGGGCTTTCACTTCAGCCCGGTGTCCCGCCATCAGTCGCCTCCGAGGTGTGGAGGAAGCCGGCTCACCTCTGCACCCCAGACGAGAACTTGTGGACTGTCTTTTCAAATACTTTGTCCTTCATCCTCTTCTGTTCCGTCTCTTGTAACATTGGATTTGTTTATTTTTTGTCTGCCTTTGTCGAGCAGGTCACAGAGCTCTTTCAGCGTTGTACTTGGCATGACTTATAGCAAGGTTAGCGGTAGATCGGAATTTGCACCCTGTTTACTTTTGCTGGCCATTTGGTTCGCTGGACGGACCCGTGTGACTCTGCTGCCTCTTGGTCCAACCCCATTCTCGGTACAGTACCGCTTGACAGTTTGAGGACAGCCTGATAAGGTTTGAAGGCAAAGCAAAATTTTCAGGTGTTAACGATAATTATCATTCATCGCGGGACTATTTAGTGCTTATGTCAGCTAGGTTTTAGAAGCTGAGGATGTGAGAGTGAATGAAACAAGGGACCCGTTTTCCTGGAGTTACTTCTAATAAGCGGAAGTTGAAACCTCGAGAATGCCAGCCAAGGGTTCTACCATCCCAGTCCTTATTCATTGATTCTTTTTTTTTTTTTTAAGCGTATTTTATTTATTTATTTTACATTTATTTATTGTGTGTGTGGCCAGCTCAGACCACCAGGGGGCAGGGCTGGCTGGCATGTGGTGCTGGGGGATTAGAACCGCGGTCCCTGCTTTGCCAAGCTTGTTCCAAGTAGGTGCTTTAGACCACTGAGCCATCTCTCCAGTCCCTATTCATTGATTCTTAAAGAAAAAATTTTATCATGTGTGCTTTAACAAGGAGTGGTGGCACATGGCTGTAGACCAGGCAAGAGAATCACAAATTTGGACAACTTAGCCAAACTGATGTCTACAAATAGAGTACTGGGAATGTAGCTAAATGCAAGGGCTTGCCATCTCTCCAACCCCAGCAAACCTCTCTTGCTGCCCAGTTCCATTCATGGTTCTAGTCAAGAGCCCTTTAAATTCTTATTTATTCATTTATTTATCTGGTATGGGGCCTCACTATGCAGCTCGGACTAGAACTGATCCTCCTGTCTCAGCCTCCCCAGCATTGAGATTACAGGAATGCAGCACCATGCCCAGTTTCAGGGGCATGGCAGACACACCGTGGCGCCAACACCTGGGGATTGAACCGGAGCCCATAAGCTTGCTAGGCAGGTGCTTAAGACTGCTGAGCTATCTTCCCAGCCCTCAAGAGCCCTTTGATATTGTTAATAAAGGTGAGCAGAGAGACAGGGAAAGCATCATAGGTAAAAGGAAAGAAAGAGTAGTAGGTTGCAATATGCTTGCACATCTCACTGGTGACAGATGAGAAGGGACAAGTGAGAGCTAATGTCAGAACCTTATATGATTGAAAATTTTGGTGTCAATGGAGGACTGAAAGAGGGGGAGTGATGGATTTTGTGCTCATGTTAGGAAGATAATCCAGTGACAGGCTGGAGAGGAAGGTCCTTGTAGTGAGAAGACCTCTTGAATGAGTTATAGCAGGAGATGGTAAAGATCTGCAGACAGCACTAGTGAGAAGAAAGCAGGCTTAGGGGGTGGGAGGGAAAATCTGTAGGCAAATCTACTAAGCTTGGGAATGGAAGGTAAAAATTATTTCCAGAGTTTTTGTGTTATTTTGTCTTTTTTGAGACAAGTTCTCATTATTCAGGTTAGGTTGGCACCAGGCAGGCACTTAGCTGCTGAGCTATTTTCTTGGCCCTGGAGCCATTTTTTCTTAGAGAATTCTCCTAGCCTGGAAAAAAAAAAAAATTCAAACTTGCTTCAAACTCACTGTGTAGGCCAGACTGGCCTCAAACTCATGATGTGTGCCGTCTCCTGAGCGTGAAGATACAAGTATGTGCCACGCACCAATCTGGGTATATTACTTTTTTGAGACAGGATCTTGCTGTATTATTTGGGCTGACCTTGAACTTGTGTATGTAGCCCAGGTTGGCTTATACTTTACAGCAATCCTCCTGCCTCAAGAGAGATTACAGGTGTGTGCCTCCTAAATGCTAGGATTACTGGTGTGTGCCACCATGCCTAGCTGTATGATACATTTAACTTTATTATTATTATTATTGTGTTTTTGAGACAGGGTCTTTCTGTGCAGCTCAGGCTGGCCTTGAGCTCACTTTGTAGCCTAGGCTGGCCTCAAACTTGCAATGATCCCCCTGCTTCAGCCTCCCAGGCACTGGGATTGCAGGTGTGTATCACCATCCCAGGATAAATATATTATTTTGAAGACATATCAGGAAGAATACCATTGGAAATAAAGTAAATCTTTTTTTTCCTCATGTTACTAGGGATCAAATCCAAATTGATCCCCCAGTATTGGGGATCAAACCCATACACACTAGGCAGGTTCTCTACCACAGAACCATACTTCAGCCCTCACCTTCACTGCTTACAAAGAAAATTAAATCTCACCACAGGAATCCTTGGGGACCCATTAAAGCCGTATTCAGACCATACCATCTTCATTTCATGTATGGATCCAATAAACTACAAAATGGAAAGGGGAAATTTTTATTAGCGGATTTCGCAACAAAAAATCATTACGCTTGTGACCTGCTGCTTAAAGTGTACTTACAGAACCATTTCACCTCAATGTTTCTTGGGAAAAGAAGCAAATCCAGAAATGTGCTTTAGGAAAAATGAAGCTCTGGCAATAGTCACATACTTTCATAATGTTTTTCATGTTGTTGAATTTGTGTAATGCTATGTACCCCATTACTTTATATTGGGTTTTCCCACTTTTATTTTTTATAATATTCACTCTGAAAAAAAAACAGTATTCACTCTGTTGAAGCTTTCAATATTTTCAGTTTATATATATTTATTTTTAGGGTTTTTGAGATAGGGTCTCACTATGTAGCCCAGTGTGGCCTCGAACTCCCCTCAATCCTCCTGCCCTAGCCTCCCATGTGCTGGGATTATAGACAAGTACCACTGTACCCCACTGATTGTATTTATTTATTTTAATTTTATTTATTAAAGATGAAAACTTTCTTACGTTTCTCAGATTAGTAAAATTTCTGTCCATTGTACATTATGTTTTTCGCCAAAATTTTACAATAGTTTTTAAATACTAACAACCTGGCATTATAGAATTACTCAAAAGATTTTTTTTTTTTTTACACAGGAAAATGGGCGATGTATTACTAAGCTGGAAAACATGGGGTTTCGAGTGGGACAAGGATTGATAGAAAGGTGAGCAGAATGGATTTGAAAATTTTCTTCCAGGTAGGTTATAAAGATGATCTGTTTCAAAAGATTGAATAAAAGTTGAGATTTTTATTATAATTCCCAAGTGTTAGTTCTCTGTTCTATAGTTGTAGATTGAAATTTCTCTTTCTAGGGTTGTGGGTGTAGCACAGTCATATAATGAAGCACATGCAAGGCCTCTGAGATCTATCCTCAGCACCAAATCAAAAAGAAAAAGAGAGAGAAATTTATTTTTAGGTCTGATGCTAGTTTAATTTACTATTTAATTTTTTTTCTTTTGAGGTTTTTTTTTCATGAAAATATTGGTCTATTGGTACAACTATTTATAATCTCCTCACATTTTTCTCCTTTTACAGGTTCTCACTATGTATTCAGGCTGGCCTTGAGCTCACTGTGTAGCCCAAGATGGCCTTGAACACAAGGCAGCCTCAGTCTCTCGAGTGCTAGGGTTACAGGTTACAGGCTATACCACTGTGCCGGGCTTAGATTTCTACTTAAGGCCTAGTACAGTGATAGTAAACCTTTTGGAGCTTTTAATGCCCCAAATAGCCTGTTGCAGCGTGCAAGCCATACCTTGCCACCACTGGCCTAGTAGGTTCTTTAACCTGAATAGAATTTGTTTTAAAGTCAAAGGAAGCTGGGCATGATGGCACATACATCTAATCTAAGCACTGAAGAGGCTGAAGCTGGAGGGTCACTGTGTATGAGGCCATCCTGAACTGCATAGTGAGACTATGCCTCAAAAAAATGAAACAAAGTCAGGGATTAAAAATACCTTAAAGTCTGTGTTTATGCATGTAATAATCTTCCATTTATAGATCAGTTTTTTCTTTATCTTTAATTGTGTGTGTGTGTGTGTGTGTGTGTGTGTGTGTGTGTGTGTGTCTGTCTGTCTGTCTGTCTGTCTGTCTGTCTGTCTGTCTGTGTGTTTCTAGGGATTGAGCCCAAGGCCTTTGCATGATATCCCTTTTTTTTTCCCCACTAGGTGGACTACACTGACCTTTAACTGGTGATTCTTCCTCAGTCTTGAGTGATTACAGGGCTTTGCTACCACACCTGGCTTTTTATTTTGAGACGGGGCCTCGATAAGTCACTAGATTGCCCAGGCATTATCTCAGTCTCCTAGAGTGCTGGGCTCACAGGCATATGCCCCCCACTTGGTTTTTGTTTATTATTTATTTTTAAAAGTTTTTTTTAGTTAGTTAGTTAGTTTGTTTGTTTGGTTCAGGGTCTCACTATGTAGCTTGGACTCCTGTTTTCTGTCTCCAGTGCTGGGATTACAGGCATGCGCCACCACGCCCAGATTCTATCATGCGCTCAGTGTGCCCAGGGGCGGGGTATTTTTTATTTTTTGTGGTACAGGGCCTTGTGTATGCTAGGCAAACATTCTACCACTGATCCACATTATTTTTATTTTGAGTTAGGATCTCATTAAATTGCCCATGATGGCCTTGAGTTTACACTTCCTGCTTTAGACAACTGAGTACCTGTGGTTACTGCGTGCAGCTATGGATCAGTTTTTATTTTTTAAAGTATTTTATCAATATCTGGCTGGGGGTCTGGTGAGATGGCTCAGTGGTCTAAAGCACCTACTTAGAACAAACTAAGCCAATCAAAGCACAGGGACAGTGGTTCAATCCCCCAGCACCACATGCCATCCAGCCCTGCCCCCTGGTGGGCTGAGCTGGCCACACACACACACACACACACACACACACACACAAAATAAATAAAATAATTAAAAAAAAATATCTGGCTGGGTATGGTGGCACATGCCTCTAATCAAGTCTCAGCACTTGGGTGGCTGAGGCAGGAGGATCATTGTGAGTTTGAGACCATCCTGGGCTACATAGTGCAAGGCCAGCCTGAACTACACAGGAAGACCCTGTGTCAAAAATAAATACTGAACTGTTAAATTCTGGTTATATTTTATATAACAATACTATGGTCATGCTTCGCTTTTTTTTTTAATGTTAGATTTGAATATATCTGAAATATTTGCTGTCAATTAACTAATAACTAATAAAATCTTAGGTTTTATAATTGTGTAAGAGAAGCAGTGTTAATCCATTGAGATGGGATGCTTTGCTTGGTGCTTATCATTTTATGACTAAATAGATGTCCCCAGTGCTGCTGGGGCATTTGGAAATTATTTAATAGGTTGTCCCTCTTGGGGGAAAATGAGGAAAAGCTATTTGCCTCTTTTCTTTCTTTGAAAAAAAAAATTGTATTACTTCTAGTTGATCTTTTTAGGTTTACAAAAGATACTGCAAGGTTCAAGGATGAGTTAGACATCATGAAGTTCATTTGTAAAGATTTTTGGACTACAGTATTCAAGAAACAAATTGATAATCTAAGGACAAATCATCAGGTATTTAGATAAATTATGCCCCATTTTTAAAGTCCTTTATCTTAATATAAATGTTATAGTTTAGTAATTTACTTATTTAAAGCTTAAAATAGTTTCTGATTAACCTTGGATGTTTCTCTTATGTTATTAATAAGTCATTAGGTTTTTTCTCTGTTAGGGTAAAGTGAATTAAGCCAAATTGGCAACTATCAGTAACTATATGTGTTTCCTTTGATTTCACATGTTATGTAAAATTTTAAATGTAGCAAATGTCAGAATTACTGGTTTTAGGATTTACTTCCTATTACTAAGGAATAATAATATGCAGAACCAGAGCTATATGGCTTTTTTTTTTAAATGTGGTACCAAGGATTGAACTTAGGACCTTGTGCTTGCCAGGCAGGCACTTACACTGCTGAGTTATCTCCCCAGCCCTATATGACTTTTTTATGTCTTTAGAATAACTTTTTATTTTTTTTTAGAATAACTTTTTATTTTTTTATTTTTTAAATGTTTCCTTTATTTATTTATTTTTTATGGTCAGCTAAGCCCATCCTGGGGATGGGGCTGGCATGGCATGTGGTGCTGGGGATCGAACCGAGGTCCCTGCATGCTTGCCTAAGCAGGTGCAAAAACAAGGTATCACTGTGTAGCCCAGGCTAGCCTTAATCTCACAATGATCCTCCTGCCTCAGCCTCCTTGAGTGCTGGGATTACAGTTGTGCATCACCATGCCTAGATTTTGAAGTCTAATTTAAGACCACTTTTAACTCTTAAACTTTTATTTATTTAAAATTTTTATTAGTACTTGAGGCTGAACTAAGGGTCTTGGCACTGAACTACATTCCCAGCCCTATTTTTATTTTTTTATTTTGAAATATGGTCCCACTAAGTTGCTAAGTTGCCCAGGCTGGCTTCAAACGTGAAGTTGTCTTGCCTCAGTCTTCCAGAATGTTGGGATTCCAGGAATGTGCTACCTTGCCCAGTTCAAGTAACTCTTGCGTTGTTTACTACTGCTGTCATTTCTTTCTAGCTTTAAAAGACTTTGTTACTACACAATTAGTAGACTACCAAGAAAACTGTGCTTTTTTTGTCTTTTTGAGGCAGGATTTCACTATGCAGTTTAGGCTGTCCTTGAACTCACTTTGTATCCAGGCTGGCCTCACACTTGCAGAGATTCTCCTGCCGTAGCCTCCTGAGTGGCATGGGCCACTATGAATGGCAAAACTGCATTTAAACAGATAGATTTATAAATCTCTAGGACTACTTTTGAGTAGGTTTGACGTTTTGAGTAAGTTTTAAAAATGAAAGCAGTTTATCCAATACTACCAGTAGAATTCACTTTTTCATATACTAACCTTAACTTGAATTACTTGAAATCCAATTGACTTTTTAGGCTTGTTCTAATGATATATAACAATTACATATACTAATATAAGACTTTTTTAGGGCTGGCCAGATAGCTCAGCAGACTAAAGGGCCTGCTTAAGCAGATGGCAGAGGCTGTTTTGATTCCCAGCTTGCTGTGCTGGCCCTGCCCCTGGGGCGTGCTGAGATGTCGATTGAGACTGGGCGTGGTGGCACGCGCCTGTAATCCCAGCACTTGGGTAGCTGAGCACAGGCAGATCACTAGGAGTCCAATCTACATAGACCCTGAATACCCTGTACTAAATACATTCAAAAAAGACATTTATTTATTGTGGTACTGAGGATCAAACTCAGGACATTGTGCATGCTAGGCAGGCACTTAGGCTGCTGAACTGTCTCCCTGGCCCTTAAGACTTTTTTCAAAAAACATTTTTGTGGTACTGCAGATTCAACCTAGGGCCTTCACACTACTTTCTTACGCCTCCTGCCTCTGCAGGAGAGACAGGGTTTTACTCAGCTAAATTGCTCAGGCTGGGTTTGAATTTATGACTCTTCTGCCTTATCCTGCAGAGTTCTGGGATTACAACTGTGTGCCACCATACCTGCTGTTGTTTTTTTTTTTTTTTTTTTTTTTTTTTTTTTTTTAATGTGGTACTAATAAACCCAGGGCTCATACATGCTAGGCAGGGGCTCTCACACTGGGCCACATCCCCAGCCCAACTCTTGAGTTCTTTAATATGGCCCATGCCTTATGCATCTTTGTATGTTCAGTCCATGGTTATATTTAGGAAGTATTAGTACTATGGAATACTGAACTCAACTTTTTTTTGTTGGTTTTCTGACACAGGATATTGATGTCTAGTTCAGACTGGCTTTGAACTCACTGTGTAGCTCAGGCTGGGCTTGAACTCTCAGTGATCCTCCTCCTTCAGCCTCAGGGGACTGGTATTAACAGGCATGCACCTCCATGAATAGTTGTACTTACAACTCTTAAACTTGAACCTTGAAAATTCACTTAAAAATTGAGCTAGATGTGGTTGTACATGCTTATAATCCCAGCACTGTTGTAATTCCAGCACTTGGAGTCTGAGGCCAGCCTGAATTACAGAATGAGCCCTTGTCTCAAATGAAAAAAAAGAAAAATTGACTAAGGAAATGGAGAATGTGAATAGCTTTATAAAGCTCTTAAATTGTTTTATAGGAGTAAAATAATTTTTAAGGAGTACAGACTACACTGACTTGGGTATTTTTTTATTTTTGAAACAGGGTATCTATGTGCTTCAGGACAACAAATTTCGTCTGCTTACTCAGATGTCTTCAGGAAAACAGTATTTAGAGCATGCATCTAAGGTATTTAATGTAATAGATGATTTCAATTTTCTACTATAAAATGAGTAGAATGATTTTTTTTGGCTGGCTCAGGCAGCCTTAAGGACAGGTCTGATAAGGCAGGTGGAGGTGGGGATCGAACTGCAGTATCCTGCACCTGATGCATTTGCATGAGCAGGTGCTTAAACAACTGAGCTAACTGGTAGGCCCCCATATAAAATGAGTAGAAATACAGGGAAGATTCAGGGCCAATCACAACAGACTCTCATATTGAAAATAGTTTTAAAATTGTACTTTTTTGCATAACCAGTTTCTGTGAAATATGAAGCATGTTCATGAAGAATTAAACTGTACTGAAGGCTGGGGAGATAGCTCCGTAGAATAAGTGCTTGCCTAGCAAGCTGAAGGGCCTGAGTTCAATGCCCGGTTTCCAAAAAAAAAAAAAAAAAAAAAAAAAAAAAAAAAAAAAAAAACCACAAAACTGTATTGAAGGTGTATAGTAACTAAAGAAGCACTACTAAATGCTAATAAATGCAGATTTGTAGTGTCTTTAATATAGCATAGATATATTGTATTGGTAAAGTTACTTAAAAGCTGTTATTTCCTGAGCACAGTTTCTCATCTCTGCATTTGTAATGTCTTTTAGTAGATTTAAACATTTTAAGTATAATATTTCATTCTAAGAATATGTTTCATGTTAAGCGCAATGTTTCTGGGTTTTGTGTAGTTTTTGTTTTTAGTCTTGTAGAAATCAGTAAATAGCTGTATCAAATCTAACAAGCTTTAATATGAGAGTTTCTTTAAGTGATTAAAATTTTTAGGCTAGTATAATAGTTAGGCTATTTATCTGTAAAAAAAATTCTCCTAATCTAAATCACATGGCCAAAAGGCAGCACTGGGCAAGGAGGCTTTTGTTTGTAAACTCCCACCATGTGGGAGGCAGAAGGATCATTAGTTGGAAGTCCTCCTGAGCAACTTGGTGAGACCCCGTCTCAAAACAAAGGCAAGATCTAACAGCAAAGCAGTGTCGTTATAGTGTAATTATAGTCATGGAAGTAAAGAAATTTAGGTCTTAAGTCTGAGCTCCACAGCAGAGATTTGTGATATTGAATAAGTTATGTAACTGTTCTGAACCTAGTTTTCTTGTTAACAAAATGAGTATAATTAGAGTTACGTTGTAATCACAGCTGCTTAGGAGACTGAGGCCACAGGATCCGAAGAAGTTCAAGGCCAGCCTGTGCAGTTTTTATTAAGATGTCTCAGGCTGGGGAGGTAGCTCAGTGGTTATAAGTGCCTGCCTGGCAAGTGCAAGGTCCTGAGTTTGATCTCCAATATAAAAAACAAAACAAAACAAAAAGATAATGTTGTCTCAAAAATTTAGTCCCCCCCAAAAAAAATCCTAACAAAATACAGGGGTGAGAGTGTAGCCCATTATACCCTGGATTAGTCCCCAGTACTGAAAATAGTAAGCCACGGGCACAGCTCAGCTCAGCTCAGCTGCGTGGGAGGTTGAGTGAGGCAAGGGTTTTGCTTGAGCCCAGGAGTCTTTGGCCAGGCTGGGCACTACAGCAAGACCTTATCTAGTCGGTGTGGTGGGGCATACCTGTGATCTCATTACTTAGGCGGCTGAGGCAGGAGGATCCTTGTGAGTTGGAGACCAGCCTGGGCTACAAAGTGAGCTCAAGATCACTCTGTACTGCGTAGTGAGATCCTCTCAAAAAGACAAAAAATAAAATAAAAAATACCCCATCTCAAAGAAAACAGAACATTAACATGGTCTTTGTTCATAGGAGCAGGGACAAGAAGTGGACATGATACTTTCTCTTCTTAATTTTATTTCACTGATTTATGATTGTTTATTTTCTGTTTGAGGAGTATCTAGGTACTTATATTTTTATGATTTTTTTTAATGAGTATCTTATTTGTTTTTTTTTAAATTTTATTTATTTACTGTGTGTGTGTGTGTGTGTGTGTGTGTGTGGCCAGCTCAGCCCACCTGGGGGCAGGGCTGGCTGGCATGTGCTGGGGGATCGAACCGCGGTCCCTGTGCTTTGCTGAGCTTGTTCCAAGTAGGTGCTTTAGACCACTGAGCCATCTCTCCAGCCCGAGTATCTTACTTGTTTAAAAAGAATTTTTATTGGTATACTGGTTACAGTCATTGAGTTTTTTGAGACAGGGTCTCGCTGCATGTTGTGCAGGCTTCCCTTGAGCTCACACTCTTGTCTTGCCCCCCGCCATGGGCTGGGCCTTGCAGCACTGCACCAGCACTGGCTACTGCTGGTTTATCTGTCTGGAGGCAGCTCTGTGTTGGACAAGTAGAGATTCTTGGTGGTAGGTAGTGGAAACCAGTTGTCATTGAATGGAATGTTAGTAGGTTACAGTTGATGAGAAGGCTCAGGAAATGGGCAAGAACCACAGGAGGTGAATGCATCCAGGAGACAACAGAACCACTGGTACAGGGAGGTCGCTTAGAGTCCTGCAGGCAGCATGGACAGGCGCTGCAGCTACCTTTCCTGTCTCCAAAACTAGGTCTACCATTTCTGGTGTAACTGTCAATCCCCGGAGTGGAGTACCTACTTGGTGGTACATGAACTTCAGTCACGTGTACGCGTATTTTGGTGACCAAGAAGAATAGTTCTTAGCAGTCATCACCTCCCTGTCCTTTCCCCAGTCACACCTCTCCTCCTCCATCCTTTATTTTTTCTGAGGTATAGCTGTGTTGCTCAGTCTGTGTTTTGAACTCCTTAGCGCAAGTGAAATATCTCACTCTACAGAACTTTGCATAACTTTCTGGTTCTTAAAAAGCAATGACTTATCGATACCATGGTTTAATTAAAATTTTGTACTTATTGGAAGTTTTACTCTTTGTTCTTAAATATTTTTTTTTTCTTTCAGTATCTAGCATTTACATGTGGCTTAATCAGAGGTGGTTTATCAAACTTGGGAATAAAAAGTATTGTAACTGCTGAAGTCTCTTCAATGCCTGCTTGTAAGTTGGGTTCACATGTCTAACAAATACTTTTAGTGATACTTTTATGTGTGGATTTTTTTAAAAGTTTTTTTAAAACATAGAGAACATTAAATGTTGAAATTTTTCCATTTTAGTGTTTTTTATTTTCATTTTAGTGTTAACGTAACATTTAGTGAATGTCAAGTAGCATGCAGTAGCATATTCAGGAATTTTTGAATTAATAAGTGATTTAAACTGAATATGGGGGCAGGAGATAGCTCAGTAGAATAAGTGCTTGCCTGCCTTCTTTATTCTCTTACTTACTCTTGCACAAAGGTAGAGAGTAGGTAATTAGGTCAGTGTTCATTGGATCATATCTTTTCTGTGGGTTGGGGTCAGTATTCATCTAGTACCTCTCAGCATCTCTTCCATTACTTAGTTATTTGTCTTAACCAGGTTATCTTAAGATTTTGTGAGAACTCTGCATTTTACAATATCTGTACTTTGACTATTAAAACTGCAGTTTCCCATTCACTGATTATCCTGTGTATATATTTAACAGGGGAGTACTGTTGGCACACTAAAAAAGCTAGGGAAAAGCTAGTTGGCAAGCGCAAGGGTCTGAGTCCAGTCCCTGGTTCTGAAAAAAACAACAACAAAAACTGAATACAGTGGCATTCACCTGGAATCCTAGCATTTGGGAGACTGAGGCAAGAGGATCACCATGAGATCAAGGCCAGCCTGAACTACATAGACTTTGTCTCAAAACAAAATGTCTCAGTTACTCTTCTCTTGTTGCTGGGACAAATACCCAGCATCCGAAATGAAGGAAGGAAAGGTTTATTTAGCTCACAGTTACTGGAAGTTTCTGTGAGGAAGTTTCATACTCGCTGGCTCCAAGGCAGACTGGCACACGGCAGAGAGCATCAGTTCATGGCAGCGGAACAACAATGCAATAGAGACATGAAGTCTGTCTCTCTTTATATCACATTCAGGCTGTCTGCCTCAGGGACAGCCTGTAGTACTCACAGCCATACTTCCAGTAATACTAAGACCTGTAGTCCCAGTTGATCATGAGTTAATCTCAAAGTCTAGAAGTCCCCATGCCGTGACTGCAGTAAGGCTTTGGGGGGACAACTAGATATAAACCCAAAAAACGATAAACGAAAATCCACTGAAGAAATCCAAATTTGTATGACAATTTAAGGGAGTTTTAACTTTTAAGAGAAAAATTTTCTGTGAGTTTTTTGGTTTTGGATTTTTATTGAAGCACTGGGAGGTCAAGCCCAGGATGCCACACATAGGAGCAAAGGCTGTATCACTGAACCACACTCCCACCCCTGCTGTTCCTTTAATATAGCAGCTTTCTCTGTGGTAGTGAAATGTCCTTTATTGTTGAGCAGTTGTTTAGAATATACCTATTATATGATGCTAAATAAAGCCCATTAGTTTATTAAACTCCTTCCCAAAGATCCCCTCACCAAATAAAAATAGCATGTTCTTGAGCTGCTGTGATTATTAACAGTGAAACTTCCAGAAGATAGGAATCAGGAGAAACAAAGGCACCTGTTTACAAACCTGGGAATGAAAATGGAATTGACTGTTTCATATTGTAAGGAGTGTGAAAAGATATTTACCCTGATAAGTTTAATTGAAAAAAATTGATGTATAGGTTTTCCTTGTACCTAAAATTAAAAAAAATATATATTTTTTTCTTTTTTTAGGCAAATTTCAGGTGATGATACAGAAGCTGTAAGCATACTGAAGTGCAAGACTTCCACTGTGTAAAGACATAAATTATTCATGTGTAAAGCATTTCAAGTAATAATGATTTAATTACATTGTTGGATGTTTGTACAGGAGTAAGAGTGTATTTTATCAATTTAATGCAGACTAACAAAGCAAAGGGCCATTCTACCACAGGATAAACTTTAATGGAATTGTTCAAAATGGAAAGTTGATTTCAAGTAACTAGACACCAAAATATATTTAAATATTTTTTATTTACTTAGAGTGATAACCACAGATGGAACTTCGAGATTGTTGAAGTGGCATAGAGAAAAAATGCAACAGTCAGAATCCTTCATGTTAAGAATGACTGACATTAGGTAGATAAAGTATGAATCTATTTTGGTTATTTTTTAAAAGCAAACAATACACTAAGTTTAACTTTTTATTTTATTGTTTGTAATTTGTTTTTATGACTGTATAAAGATTCCACGTTTACATTGTGTGTATATATGTGCATATATATATTATAAAAATGACCTTACATTGCTTGAAAACTTAATTTAATTTTATTACTTTTTTTCTTTTTGGCGGAACTGGGGATTGAATTCAGGCCCTTGCGCTTGCCAGGGAAGTGCTTATTCCACTGAGCCATCTCCCCGGCCCCCTACATTTTCATTCTTGAGAAATATATGCAATAAAAGTGAGATACAGAGGGCTGGGGAGATAGCTCAGTGGCACAGTGCCTGCCTGGTGAGCACAAGGTCCTGAGTTCGATTTTCAGCACGTACACACACACATACACACACACAAAATGAAATACAGGCTAAGTGTGTTGGGAGGGATATTTATGTTACTTATTTTTTGTGCTGGGGCTTGAACCCAGTGTCTTTGCAGCAATCTACAACGCCAGGCCTTTTTCTCATTTTGAGAGAGATTCTTGCTAAGTTTCTGAATTATGCAGGCCGGGCTCAAAAGTTGTGATCTTCTAGTTTCAGCCTCCCAGAGTGCTGGAAATACAGGGGTGTACACCACACTGCACCACACCCAGCTTATTGCTTGTTCTTGACTTTCAGCTTCTCCCCATGCATGGAAGTCCTAGTGAATGTTCTAAGATCTTTATTCTCTTACTTACTCTTGCACAAAGGTAGAGAGTAGGTAATTAGGTCAGTGTTCATTGGATCATATCTTTTCTGTGGGTTGGGGTCAGTATTCATCTAGTACCTCTCAGCATCTCTTCCATTACTTACTTTAGTTATTTGTCTTAACCAGGTTATCTTAAGATTTTGTGAGAACTCTGCATTTTACGATATCTGTACTTTGACTATTAAAACTGCAGTTTCCCATTCACTGATTATCCTGTGTATATATTTAACAGGGGAGTACTGTTGGCACACTAAAAAAGCTAGGGAAAAGATGGCAAACTGAAAAAGGATGATTCATAATAAACCAAAAAAGAATTTTTTGCTATTCTCCTGTCTCAGCCACCTGAGTGCTGGGATTACTGGTGCGCAGCACCATGCCTGGCTTACTGAAACTGAAGAAGAGTTTAAGAATTTTTATTAGAGCTAGATGTGCCAGCTCTCACTGCAATCCTAGCATAACTCCGATTTGGAGGCCAGCCTATGCTACATAGGGAAACTTTTGTTTCAAAGACTCAATAAACCACTAGCATGGTGGTACACTCCTGTAGTTCCGGTACTTGGGAGGCGGAGGCAGAAGGATCCATGAGTTAGCTCAAGGACAGCCCAAACTACAAGGCAAGACCTTGTCTCTAAAACAAGCACACAAATCATTGAACTTTAGGACATAAGAGAAAATTAAAGTCTATTGAGAGGATTGCTACCAGTCTAAGCTGCACCTGTACCAAATACAAAAAAAAAAAAAACCTGAATTAAGAGGTACAGTAAATTCCCAGTTCTTAAATGAGTTGTTTCCGGAGAATGGAAGTCTGTCAAAGTGAGTCATGTACCCCTTTGACATATATCCAATGTAAAGCATAAGAAAGCCACACACACTATAGACTGTTTTTACTTTTAGTTACCTCAAATTGGTACAGTGCAGTCTAGCAGCTGGCATGTAGGGGATTTCATGCAGTGCGCTGAGGAGAGTTATATAAAGGGTAGGGTAAAGTCATTGATGATGAGAAAAGAGCTATTACTGAGATATCACTGGATTTTTTTAAGAGCAGACAATTGAATCTGCCAAAAAACCTGTGGCATCAACATCTGAGGGAGCGCAGTTTCCTCTTGCCCTCTGTCTCCTGTTGCTGCTCGTCATCCAGCTCCTCTTTGCTTCCTCCACCCCACACACTGAGGTACTGCTGCACTGTGTGGTCAGCACTCAGCAGCTGTCCAACACTCACGGGAGCTGCTTCTGCCAATGTTCGCGATGCGTTCCCATTTGTGAAAGCTTATGACTTCAATGTTCTTTTTTTTTCTTGTGGTACCAGGGATTGAACTCTGGACCCTGCATTTGCCAGGCAAGCACTTATTCTACTGACCTAGATCCCCGGCCCTTGAATGTTCTTATGTTGGGGAATTACTGTTTATCATTTTCCTTTCATAGAGGTAGCATTATAAAAAGTATTTCAATTTACTAAAGTATTCTTAATTCTCAGATAATTTTGTTTTGTCTTTTTTGAGACAAGGTGTTGCTATGTAACCTAAGCTGGCCTGGAATTCTGTAAGCTTCTGCCTCAGCCTCTCAAGTGCTGGGATTACAGGCAGGCACCAGGTGATTTATTTATTATTTTTTTGCGGAATCAGGGATTGAACTCAGGCCCTTGCATTTGCCAGTGAAACACGTATTCTACTGAGCTATCTCCCTGGCCCCTAGTCTCAGGTGATTTAGAAGAGGTTTTTTTTTTTTGTTTGTTTTTTTGTTTTTTTTTTTTTCAGATTTTGAAAAATTACATAAATTCAGGAGAGATGCTACCAAATATAAAAATGTATAAAAGCAGTTAAAAAGGTCAATATGGAGGGCCGGCCAAATAGCTCATTGTATTAAAGCACTTACAAATAGGCATAGGGGCTGAGGGTTTGATCCTCAGGCCTGCTGTGCCAGCCCCGCCCCCAGGGTGCTGAGACTGATTTGAGACTGGGTGTGGTGGCGCACACCTGTAATCCCAGCTCTTGGGAGGCTGTAAATAGGTGGATCACTACCAGTCCAATCTAGTAGTAAGGCCATGAACACTCCAGAGACCCCTAAAATATGAAGAAAAAAAAAAGGGGGAGTGCTGGGGAGATGGATCAGTAGAAGTGGCTGCCTGGCAAGTGCAAGGTCTCGAGTTCAATCCCTGGTACTACAAAAAAAAAAAAAAAAAAAAAAGTCAATAGTAGGGCAGGCCAGATAGCTCAGTGGACTTAAAGCACCAGGGACCTGGGTTTGATCCCTAGTGTACCACTGTGCCAGCCCCGCCTCCAGGACGAGCTGAGCCAGACTGAGACTGGGCATGGTGGTGCCCGCCTGTAATCCCAGCACTTGGGAGGCTGAAAACAGGAGGATCACTATAGTCCAATCTGTGTAGTGAGACCTTGTAGACTCTGTACTAAATACATAAAAATAAAGATAGATAAAATAGGGCTGGCGAGATAGCTCAGTGGACTAAGCATCTGCTTAGGCAAGCGCAAGGACTGTGGTTTGATCCCTGGCACCACATGCAGTGCTAGCTCCATTTCCAGGGCAGACTGAGCTGGCCACGGAGTTGGGGCATAGTGGCACACACCTGTAATCCCAGTGCTACAGAGGCTGAAAACAGGATGATCACTATTAGTCCAAGCTGCATAGTGAGACCCTGTAACAACCAAATACATTTAAAAAAAGAATATCAATCTGATGTGTATCCCTATGGAGGGATGTGGCTACATTTGTTTAATCTTTGTCTGGAGGTCTGACCCACAGCAGCAGTGTCTGTCTCTCCCACAGTTGCAAGAGATCTTGAAGCAGGTTTTCCATATGCAGTCCAGGCTGACCCTGAACTCACTTTGTAGCACAGACTGCCCTCATACACCTGGTGATCCTCCTGCCTCAGCCTCCCAAGTGCTGGGATTACTGGCATGCGCCACCATGCCTGGGTAAAATACTTTTTAATGTCTTTAGCATATAGTTCTATGGTAGGTCAGTTGCCTGGGGTGCACAATCCCCAGCCTCAGTCTCAGTATTGGGCAAGGCGGTGTGAGAGTTGGGAATGCAGCCCAGTGTGCGAAAGGACTGACATCACCACACCCTGGGTTCAATCATCCTGATCCTGAGGGAAGAAAAAAGAAAAAGATACTGGGGATTTGTCCTTTCCTCTTCAGTGAAGGTGCATGATGATGGGTGCTCAGAGCTGAGCCGCAGCTGACTGAAAAATAGGCAAAGGACTGAACAGATTTTTCTCCCAAGTAGGCAAATAAATAAAAATGGCCATTCAAATAAATGACCCACAGGTATGTAAAAAGATATTCAACATTCCTAATGAGAAAAAAGAAAATCAAAACTACAGATGGCCACTGTCAAAAACAAGACAAATTAGAACCCTCACGGGCACTGTTAGTGGAGATGTGAATTAGTACAGCTGCTATGAAAAGGGGCTCTTGAGAACCAGGACTGCAGGACCCAGGAATCCCACTTTTGAGTGTGCAGTGTTCCCCACTTTCCCTTACTGTCCTGACTGAAAAACAGCAAAGCATCTTGGGGCTGTAGCTCCATGGCAGAGCACTTGCTTAGCTCTTATGAGGTCCTGGGTTCAATGCCGTGTATAAAAAACCCAGCAAATCAGGGTGGCTCCTCAGCTCTGTGAAACAACTAGCACATCAGGCTTGAGCCCAAGCTGGCCTTGCACATCTCCAGGTACAGATACAGAGGCTTATGCTGTTGCCCCCAATACTAAAAGCTCTGGCCTTGAACATAATCCCTTAAGCGCACACATAATAGCCATGAGTCCTCACACCAGGCTAATGGCTTCACTGCTGTACATTGACATGATTGTTAAGACACACTTGTGGGCAACAGGTGAATACAAACCTGAGGTGGATTTTTTTTTTTAAATTTTATTTATTTATGGGGGGGCGGGGCTGGCTGGCATGTGGTGCTGGGGGATTGAACCGCAGTCCCTGTGCTCTGCTAAGCTTGTTCTAAGTAGGTCTTTAGACCACTGAGTCATCTCACCAGCCCTTGAGGTGGATTTCTGAGAAAGGTTTAGGATTTCGGAGAAAAGGGTGTGGAAGGTTCTGTCTCCTCCTCTTTTTCTATCTTAAGAGAGACAGTGGCAAACTGCAGCCACAGTCTTGTCACTGAGGGAAATAAATGCTAAAGCAATCTCAGAACCATGATAACCATGAAGCAATAAACCAGTGCCAGTGGGTGAGTCCTCAAGATACCTTGTTCTATGAGGAAAATAAACCTGTTTGAATAACCATTGCCACTTGGGACTTCTGCTACTTAGAGTGGAAAACACTGCTACTTGATACAAAACTTAGTGATGCAAATAAATTATTTTATTTATTTTTGTGGCCAGCTCAACCCACTCTGGGGGCGGGACTTCCGCAGCATGTGGTTCTGGGAATCGAACCGTGGTCCCTGCGCTCTGCCTAAGCTTGTCTAAGCAGGTGCTTTAGACCACTGAGCTCTCTCTCTAGCCCTGTAAATAAATGACAGGAAAAAAAAAAAAAAAAAAAACAAAATGCTACTTGACCTATGAGGGTATTATTACAAATGACCTGCGAAAGGTTTGTACTTTATAGAAAAGTGAAAATGTCTATAAGTTCAGTGTTGACTGAACATTTTCCATGAAATCTAGTTTGTTTTGCCAGATGTGCTGGTACACTCCTGTAATCCCACCCACTCGAGGGGCTGAGGCAAGAGGATCACAAATTTGAGGAGGCCAGCCTAGATGACTTAAGGAGACACTGTCTCCAAATTTAAAAAGACTGGAGGCACAGCTCAGTTCCCTGTGCTCAATCTCCAATACTCCAAAACAACAAAAAATCCAGATTTTTAAAATTCTAAGGATATTGTCTTTTATTTTGTTCAAGGTAACAAATAAAAGTTTAGTATCCAAAACACATTTTCAACAAAATTTTTGTGTATAATGTAAACAAACAGCACCAGGGACTGCTATAAAATTTCATCATACAGTTTCCGTGCAGGCTGCTTCATTAATAAATGGGACCCAACTTATTTTAAATGTTTATGACTGCTGAAAACTATTCAAACTGTTCACTGAAAACCAGGGGGTATTTTTCCAGATATTTCAGACATCTAGATAAATTTGATCTGTACTCTGATCATCAACTTAAACTGCAAAGGTTAAGTGAAGAAGCGTCATACACACGGTGATGAAGCAAATGACGCAGTCTGTGTGGAAACGCACCACATGTGCGCAGGCTCAGGTCGCCTTCAGCAGAAACACCATCTGTCTCGGAGATCAGCTCCATCATGACGGCTCATCAGCTAGATCACGCTGGTCAAAATACCTAGTAAAAAAAAAGCTTGATGTTTGCATGAATATGTTAATTATAGTGCTATTTATAACTCAAACCATGCATGTAATCTTCAATAAGGAAACTAATAAACCATGATACAACTACACAATGGGAGACTATAAAACTATAAAAAAAGAAAAATATACCTACATTGCTATAGTGTGATTTCCAAGATTTATTAAGTGAAAAAAGCAAAAGTACGGAACAGACTATTTAGTATGCTCCCTTCTATATGTGGAAAAAGTAAATATAGGACTGGGAATTTAGCTTGGCGGCAAAGTGACTACCTGAGCTCCATTCCTGGTACCTAAATAAGATCATCTAGGTATGGTGGCACACACCTGTAATCCCAGCACTAGGGAGGCAGAGACAGGAGGACTGCATCAATTTTGAGGCCAGCCTGAGCTACAAAGAGAGTTCAAAGCCAGCCCAAACTGCATAGTGAAACCCTGTCTCATTTAAAAAAAAAAAAAAAAAAAA